TAGGACCATACCCTCCCTAAAGCAAAGTCCGTCTTCCTCATCCGACTCGGCTGGAACAACAGGTGATGCTGGTTCCTAGAGAACAAACTCTACCTATATCTAAACCCCATCTCCCGTATGCCAGAGTCTACCGACGGCGGTGATGGAAAGATAGGTATTGCGAAAAAAAAAGAACAAGCTGCGATTTTTCTCACGACTTTGCAAACCTCCCCAAATTTTACAAATCCTAGTGAAACCTTTCTAGAGAACTTTCCTCGAAACTGAACCATCTTCCTAATCTTCTGAGAAATCTACTACAGGTTCAAATACGAAGGCATTCGTGAAGCAAAAGCACCTTCAGCAGTCAGCTTCGAAAAGCTTCTGTCTGATGAGCTGTTTCTAATGTGATATGAGGGTAACACTGTCGTCGTCAATCCGTCCGCTCCTTGGTATGCGCCACGTATTCTAGTTCCACTTCGAAGCCGCAATGACACCTGAACGCTATGTAACTTATACAACAGGGTTTTCCGTCGCGTCCGCACTTTATCACAAATCTTCGTCCTCCCCCCTTCCCCCTTCACAAGAGGTCCTCTATACGACCCCCTTGCTAGAAATACAGACACAGTTGCACAGAATTTGTGGTGCAGCGGTGATCCCAGGGTTAGGGATTCATGAAGACTCGTTCTTGCGTGATAGCGCACCAAAGGTTCTTCATGAGAGACGCAAGAAACAAAACTCTGCAGACATACATAACTTTCTTAAAATTCGACATTTCCAAAACTTGTTCAGGTAGATTTGAAACTTAAAGAATTCGGCTTCCAAATATTTCTCAGAACTACTTCAAAATCCGGAACGTTTTTTATTAGTTGAAAATAGAATATAGGCACTGTATTGCCACCGAATGAGCAGTTCAGGTCATGAATCCTTCAAATGCGACCTGTCGCGAAGACATAAAAAGAATTGGGATGATCAGTTCAGCTTCCTTCAAGATACTGAAAGTTTTCTAAACCTACTTACCACTTACCTTAGATTAGTAAATACTATCATATTTGGATTTTTTTTTCAAAAGCATTTTGAAAACAACTGCGAATATCTAGCTTCGTAGATTTTTCGTTGATCTTCAAGTAGTCAACCTTTCCTTGCCATTTTGAAAGTTGGTTTGAATTTTGAAATAAAGGTTTGATGCTATTGAGTCCTGCTGTCATAGGCGTGCGCCCGCGCCTGTGGGCTGCCAAGGCATTCAAACGTTCGCTTCCTACTGCTATGACATACGATGCCAGCTATTTTGATCTCCGTATTGTTTCGGTGAAGACCTGAATCTACAGAGGCGATCTACACTGGTGTGCAAATGTTAAGGACAAGATAGATGAAGCAACATAACTTATCAACAGTTTGTGGACCGTTAACCGGTTTCTGTCTATTGCTCTCTGTACTGCACTGTAGCAGCTCATCCTATGTTTGGTCAGGCTCTGGGGAGTTATGTTTCTCGCCAGTAGCACGTTATTGAAAAAATACGTTCGTCCTTAAGTTTTGCACACCAGTGTACAGGGTGGTCCAAAATTATGAGGACCGCGTGCGCGCACAGTCATATTCACTTTTTTCCGCATCGCTCCATTTTTATCTTGTTTTCTGTGTACTATGTGAAAGAGTACATTGTCTTCTTCCTAATGAAACCAAATTTCATAAAGTTCTAGTGGAATAACTACTTCACTTTAAGTCAGTCCTCAAATTATACTCACTAGGGGCTCTGGCACGTTACATCTAGCAGCAGTCTAACCTATCAGGAGAGCCCCTATGAGAAACATTTCAACTCTTCAATAAGTTTGGAACCACCACAGATGGAAAATTCGGGGACCGAAAGTTACAGTTAGCACCAGGATAATTATAATATGCAGAAACTAGGTCTCCCCTTGCCGACTTTCGCACAACCAAAATGAAAAAATTGATGTGAAAACACAGCCAGACACTCTAAAGACTCCACATCTGTAGTGGATAGAAAGCCACTCAAGCGGTCTACTAGGGACTTTTTACAGGACCGAGCACCCAAGAATAAAGCAAAAGTACTCTAAAAACCGATTTTTCGAGCTCGTTGCTTTCGGAGGATTGTTACAATGGAACCTTCCATCTGCTACCTCCAGATTTCTGTATTTTACACCCTGGATGCAAGCGCAAATAAATGCCCCGCAAAACTTTGATTCCCTGAAGAAGACAGAGCAGAAGGCCTGGAAACTTTGGACACGCCTCAGTTGCGTGCCACCGCACGCGCCATCCCCCTTCATCTGAAGGCTTGTGTAAACGGGGCAGGTGGCAGATCTCAACTCTATTCTGGAATTACTCTGAGCTAAGAGTTACGAATGCTTCCCTGAAGTTGGTTTGTTCCATCAAGCTACTACGCGTTTTTAACGACACAATGTCTTGGTCCTCATAATTTTGGACCACCCTGTAGTTGGTTTGTTCCATCAAGCTACTACGCGTTTTTAACGACACAATGTCTTGGTCCTCATAATTTTGGACCACCCTGTAGTTGGTTTGTTCCATCAAGCTACTACGCGTTTTTAACGACACAATGTCTTGGTCCTCATAATTTTGGACCACCCTGTAGTTTCATTTACATACGCTTTCATTTTCTTAAACATTACGCTTTCTGATTGCGATATCAGCTACCGACCCATGACGGTACCGAGATTTCCGCGCCTGGATTTGCGACCACCTCCCAACTTCATGAGCAACACACAAACCTCCTCGCTCGGATTTTTAGAGCGGACGGCTGGCCTAACGCGGGACTCGGCCGATGCACAATTCAGTACTTTTGTCCTACGAACAAATCTCGCAAAAATCGCTCGACGACTCTAGCCGTTTAGCAGAGTAACGGTTAGCGTTGAAGAGGGTAGCAACGACGAGAGTCGCATCAAAGCAGAAATCGACAGGCAAGGACGGTCCCATTTGTCGGGCTCTTATCCGTCTCTCGTACTTTTCCTCCATTCCTGCACCTTCTCTACCTTGACTTCTGGTGGGTTACCTCTTCGTTGTAAATTCAGCCTTTGATTTCATGCACTGAAAAGATCTACTCTAGAATAAAAGTCGCTCTCTGTATGCAGAGCAAGCATTTTTAAGAAAAAATCGGGACTCGAAACGAAAACTCCAAAGAATTAAAATATTCCACAAGGAAGTTGGAGATTGTGATTAGAGGGCGACAGAAATTTGTCTTTTCGTTAGCAGATGAGAAAAACAAACACGCTGTGAGGGCGATGTGCAGCTGCTCATATGAAATGCTGACAAGAACACTCGTTTGTTATCCACACTTCAGGGGATTTCTTTCTTCAGTCTACCAAAATACGATTCAAAAAGATTATAGATTAGATTATACACTTGGAAGAGTCCTTGTTTATTATTTTTCGAAGAACCATTTTTCCGAGGAAAATTGAGCAGGGACCAAGTTAACTGATGTAGTCGCTCCAATGTGTAGAGTTGTTGGTCCACCACTGCAGAGGCATCGCCACCTTCACACCTCAAAACTCACTAATGCGCCAGGCGCTAAGGACTTTGACCAAATGCCACCGAAGAGAATCAAGGCCCGCCGCACGCTCAGTATTTTATCTGCGTCGCAGCGTTGATCTGCTAAGCTCTTTCTGCCCAGACCTCTCTACTCTCTCTGCGACTCACATTATCTCTCATCTCTGTCTGCCTCTTATACTGTGTTTTTAATGATTTCTTCCTTTTTTCTTCACTTGCAGTCCACGCATTTTTACTTTCATATTTGGGTGGAATTACCTCATTGTACTTGTGGTTAGGAATACAAATGGAATGACACCGATAACAATATCACATCAAGCACACAATATTCTACGACGGTATCATCCTTGTGTCAATACGACCCCCTCGCCCCCATCTCCTCCGGAAAATTTCAAAAGATCACTCAACCCCCTGATATACTCCGTGTCGGCTAACGCTGCTATTTTATAATCTATCACCATTACAACTGTGAGAAGCACGACAAGAAGAAATGGTCTGCTCCAGTCGTTATAACTGTGGTGAGATGCTAGCTCCTCACCAAGCTGTTCCTTCGATCAGCAAAGCCTGAGTGAAATGATTGCATCGCTGATACTTACCATCTTCGCTTTGCGGGAACTGACAAAGTCTTTAAATGTAGAGAAAATCAACGCTTTCGTGTAAATCCTCGGAAGCACACGACTAAGTTGAAGCTCACCATAGTAAAGTCAGAGTACGGTAATCACCCGTAGTACGTGCCGCATTAGCGTATTAACTGCACAGATGCCCCTTGCTCGAACCCTCGCCACAATGACGTCACCAATCACGCCCGCATCCGTTCCGCCGGTAAGCTTCCATGTTGCCACCAAGGCACATTCATGGCCCCTTTTCGAAGAATCCTCGATCGCTGTTGATAATAAAATTCCCCAGAGAGGTGAAAATTGGGAGAGGGTGGACGTTGCATCGTTTTCGCTTACTTGACAGAAATATTCTTTTTTGTATGATGTATGATAGTTTTTCCTTAGTTCCTTTATGTTCCAAATGAGTTTCATGTGACGTCAGCGAAAAAGTGATGGAATGAAGATTATTCCCCTTTAATTTTATTAACGTCACCTACTGCGGCCGAATAGTTCTACTATAGTCGTTGTGTTGGTCACCATGGCAACGACGTAAGAGGCGTTTTCTGCTCACCTTTGTCATCTTTCTCTTTATTCACACCTATAATAACTGAAGTCTTGTGTTGAGGAGAGCGTACATTTCATTATTTCCTTCTTGCCAGAACTATTTCCAGCCAAGAAATTGATCACAGGTAACTTTACATTTTGGAAATTGTTGTCGAATTTCCAGCGTCACAGCCACCTATACGACACCTTTTGCGTGAGGTGATTCCTTGTCCATGCAAAAACTGTCTTCTCATTGAAAAAATGCAGACTTCCACTCAACTTGTATCAGACTCGCCGCTGAAAACACACATCGACGAATGTTCACAAAATCAGCTGTTTGATGAGGTGCAGCTGAGAAACACTGAACCAATGGGCATTTGTGGATCCTGCCTCCGGCTGCTGCTTGATGCCGAATCTGACGTGAAAATTCATGGTGGGTAATTTGTCTACTACCTGCAGCATTTATAATTAACCCATGGCTGAAGGCCCTCAAGAAGCTCGTGAGTCTCCAATAATAGAGCTCGTCTCGAACACTCGCTATTTTTTTATTTTTCAAGAGACAGGAAGTATTGATTCATGTCGGCTATTGTTCAACTGTGAAGGTAATGTAACTGGATTTGTCGGATAGACTATGGAACAAAGCACGCATTACTTAACTTCAAAGAAGGTCCACGATAAGGTCGGAGGTTGATGGGCGTACCCGCGCCTCTCGCGTCTCTGTACGCCCGCCGATAAGTAACCTCCCGCCGTCTGACTCTGACCGTCTGGCACATTCTTTAGCGTTGGAGAGGGCAGCACCGATGAAACTCACATCAGTGCGGGAATCAAGGGGCAAAAATGGTCTACTACTCGGGTTCTAGGCCGTTTCTCATGATTTATCTTCATCGCTACACCACTGACCGCCTCCAATTTGATCCCAAATAGGCTGCCTCTTCATCGTCGTCTCCGTCTTAACTCTCCCACTTTTACAAAATTGACGTGGGCTATTTTTCAAAATCTGTCTTCGTGGTTATTTGATACATAATACTGCGCAGGACACACGTCCAGCAGCGCAGGCCATAAGGGAGTGCAAGGGACGATGTGTCCCGCACTGCCATTCTCCCGCGCACGCACTATCTTAAGTTTTTTGTGTGGGTGTCCTGTGAAGAACCTTAACATAGTCACAAATATTGTGGCCCACAGAATGGTCACGCATTTTCTCACACCAGCGGAGCATTTTTGTTCATTTTTCGTTTCCTTCCTTTTTTCATAAAAGCATGTATAACAACAAACTTGATAGTCCAAAGTGTTGGAATCTTCCTGGTCTGCAGAATTTGCAGGAGATGCGCATTTCGCAGCAAAGAGTATGCCCTCAGCACCCTAGGAGGGTCAGTTCCCCGCCGTGGTGCGCCCATCCTCTGCCGTCTGACTCTGACCGTTTGGCAGAGAAAGCATTAGCAAGAAGAGAGGCAGAGAGGCAGAGAAAAGGGCAAGAGGAGCGCGTTCCGCAGCGACGAGTTGATGAGGGAGGGTCGCGTCAGTGCGGAAATCAAAAGCTAAGGGAGGGGCTCATCGGGTTCTAGGCCGTTTCTCCTGGTTTTTCTTTCGTCTCTTCACCACTAGCCACCCCTACCTTTATTCTAATAGGCTGCTCTCTGGCCATTTTGGTCTCCAATAAAGATGGCTTCGTAAACTATAGAGTTGTAAAATTTTGAAAATTGATTTCAAGTGGGCACCATGGTGGTTCAACCTAGGAGAAGTCTCCCACTATGTTTACAATTCCTTAATTTGCTTCTATCTATCCTACCATTCATAGTTTTATTTGAGTAGGACGTACCGTGATTTCAGTCATCGAACCGACTTCCATTGGGGTCGAGCACTCAGTGGCTGTCCATAATTGCTCTGTGCAACAACCTGGACGAACAGCACCAACGTTACAGGTGACTCTGGTGCATTGCTACTCACACTTCTTTTTTACAAATTTTTGTCTTGTTTAGGTGCCAGAAACGCATTCTGCAAACCGAAGTGAAATGCGATGACAATTTCGCCATCTTGAGCTCTATTCTCCGCTGAACACTGCTAGGGATGAACGAGGCATTGTGTTCTGAGACTATTCGAGGTTCGGTGTTTCAATGAAAAATGAAAAGTAACAAGATGAAAATAATTTTTCCTTTCCGCATCGTGGATGGAACTTCCGAACGTAGGCGCTAAAAGACATATCATGATCTTAATATGTTCGATTTCGTGAGATGTGTGAACTTTGATACTGTGACTACCTCTTTAAAGATTTCCTTTTCTACGTTCAGGACTTTCTTCACTTTCCCTTTCTACATTCGGTCCCATGTCTATATCCCATTGCCTTGTTTATCTTGCTATCCTTGTATTCCTGCAGCTTCTATGTATATTGAAAATGAAAAAATCGGTGAAAATGTAGTTTGAGGGGGCCACTAATAATATCTAATCGGACTGACAATATCTAATCGCAGTGGAGGTGCAGAAGAGCGGTCATATCTAGTCACCATCCAGACACAGTCTCTGAATGTATTATTAGATAGGGATACCAACTCGAGATTTCATACAAAATCGGATACCTGAAAGGTGCTCTCTTCGAGGGCTCGCATGGCGGTCACAATAAGGGAAAGTGAAGAGCCAGCAAGGTAGCAGCCATTTTAGCCGTAGAAATAGAATAATATGACAAGGTGAACGTACTGGTCGTTGGCCACGGTGTCAGTGAAAGATATGATAAGATAGAAGTGCCTTCCCGCAGCTCTACTTTAAATTAGATGTGTGTGCCCTTCCGCAACTCCCTCGAATAGATAAAATGGCCCGCCGAAATACATTTTCCCCAAAAAATTATAGCCTGTAAATTGCAGCTTTGCCTTCTTTTGCATTACGTCTTACATACGTATTCATGTCGATTTCCGCGAAAACCAGTTATTGCACTTAAATTCGACTCTAATAAAAAATGCTTTTATGGTGGAAAGACTCCGGAGAGTTTACCCAGAATGCACACAAAAACTTCATTGGTAATAGTACGAGCAGCTGCCCACTCATATTACTCGAAACAGCTCCAGCTTGGTTTTCACCTTCCGACACTATGGTGGAATAAGGCTTGCCCTACTCAAGAGAACATATTTGATGGGGGACGAAACAGAAATACACCTTGGAAAGTCGCAGAAAGAGCAGCTCGAACACCTCGAGTAGGGAGGGTTTGCAGTGCCACTACGGCCAATTCCAACCCACGACCCAGCTTCCGAAGCCCGTTCAGCTCCGCTTTTCTAAGCCTCGTTCCATTTATTATGAGTTTCTAGTTACAGGTCACACTCTCTGTCTTCTGACTTAGAGCTAGCGCATGGCTTCCACACATTAGGTCGAAGGTAAAAACCCTACTGGCCTTTGACTTTAACACAATAGCGTACTCGAGCGATTTTGCGCTTGATTGAACACGCCATGGCTGGCGCATGCACTGCAGCATCCACCGCGCGCGCCAACATCGGTCGACTTCACTGAGGCCACCGCCAGACCAACGTATTTCCGATCATTTTCCAGACTCAATTCTACATTTTTATGCTTTCTGTTCTTAATCATGGGATTGGTCACAAGTTCATGAATATTTCTATTTATTGTTTTATTTTGCCCATCAAAAACGTTCAAGTAGTTGGCAATCGATAGGACGACAACATTTGCTGAGGGACTAGAAATCAGCTTCGACCCTGTCTGTTGATAGCGATGACAAACAGCATAGTTCAACTATCCACGGCCTGTTTTAGCATATCTATTGAACAGCAGTGAAGACTGCATATTTGGAGAATATTTACATGCTCTATCGCCTTCCACAGAGCCTCCAAGGGAGGTAGATTCCTTACACTCATGCTTGTGCTATATATTCACTACCAATTTCAGCATCAGGGTGGGACAGTAAAGGGAGTACTTTGAATGATTCTTAGTTCGGTTCCATCACAGTTCGGTCCCAGGAATTCCTGGAGACCGGCGAAGAAGGGGTAGATTCCGACTATAGGAGGGAGGCCAGCAGCAACAGGTGAATGGGGCGTGCACCATGTGGGACGAGTTGTCCCGAGGTCATGATTCGGTTCCAGGAAGACCTGGGACGGTAGTAAAGTGCCATAGACTGGGAGTCAAAGGTGATGAACTTCGGCCTTAAACGGCGAAGGATGAAAGGCGATACAGCGAGGTGATCCTGGTGTGAACGGCGAACTTCACTACATTCTTAGCAAAACACACAGTGCCCATGGACTTGAACCATGCAATGCAGCGTCCATGAGCGCGACGTTTGGCACTGCACCACAAAGCATTGCTGGTTCACTTTGAAAGAATTGTAGAATGCAAGATAATAACCTATGAGGTTTGCAAAATCTTGATGTCGCGGATAATTGATCCCCTGACCGACCCAGTGCCCACATGGAACGAACCCGCTGCGCCAATCGACGTGTCGCATTCGTCAGATTATTCTCGTGAAATTCTACACAGCTGAACTGCTCCCATGACCAAGGAAGGGGCTATAACATGATCAATAAGTGGAACATTGTTGGGGACAGTCGGGGACACCATACTGGCGAGAAGTTATCAATATTATCAATAGCTCCAGTGGTTTTCTCAACACCTTCCAGGAACTACCCTTCTTCTCTTCGCTCTGCGACATGGCAGGGACGCAGGGGCACACGAGGCGCGTTGCCAAAACGGCGACCGGTAGAGGAAAGGAAAAGTGCATGGGTATTGCAGAGACGGTAATCGGCAACTAAAATGTACTCAGGGGTACATATTAATCGCCGTTTAATGCCTCTGCAAGGCCCATGCACTTTTCCTTTTCTCTGACCGGTCGCTGTTTTGGCAACGTGCCGCCGCACACGTTGGCCAATTAATATATGACGTAGACCTCGCCCACTGCGGCACGTCAGCGCGAGTTTCCCGCCTTTCCCAATGCTTTTTTGGGTGCGGACAAGGGCGACGTCAAGGTGAGCCATTGGCTAGCCATAGACTGGCCGTTTAGACCGCTTTACTACCGTCCCTGTTAATCCGGAAGAAGCGGATAGAGTCCGACAACATAAGGGAAGTGAAATGCTATGGGTGGATGGAACATGCAGCGGGGTTGGCAAACTCATTCGGAAAGCATTATATTTTGAAAATATCGATGGCACTGCTTTATACTACTGCTGTCCCGTGTAGTAGTCAGACTGGTGGATAAATTAGTTCTTCTTAAGGCGAGTCCCAATCGGATATGTTGTTCTTCGTGCAGGAAATGTTCTCTGCACCAAACTAGGATGAAAACAGACATTGAGAGTATACCCAATTCAAACATAGCTACATGGTAGCGCGCTCGGCTGCACACACAGGGGCAGGATGGGTGGTGCATGATCCCGCATGCGGTACTCGATGTATTAGGTTGTCGTGCGTATTTTGAACTTTCTTTGGGCCTACCTTATTTCAAGCACACACATTACCTATGAGCACCACCATTATTTGTTGCCAACATCCAACCGAGGATTGGCTACTTTGCTCTGAAAGGCTGGCAGTTATGAGTTGGGAAAGGCGTGAGAGACGTAAGCAAACCAGCCCTTTTGGCGCTTCGGCTGGTTCCGTGTGCTGAATGTTGGGGAGGGGATGGAGTCTCCGACGGTAGACGGACCACTTCAACTCGGTCCTTGGAACCGACACAATTTGGTGTTTACCACAGAACTAAGCCTTAAAGAGAGGACGGGTCCCCGTCCCCTCTCCAAAGCTTAGTCCTGCGGTGGGCAAACCAGACCTTCTGGCGGAGCTGATGGACCAGCTGCACCACTTGCGCCAGTACTCTCCTATCGTACCAACCGGGTTGAAGTTAACCGTCGAACGCTGGGGTCCCCATCTCCTACCCAACATTCAGCATACGGTCCCAGCCGAAACGCCAAAAGGGCTGGTTTGCTTACCTCGGCGTGAAATCGATGTTGAGGTGCTTGTGGGAATCGTATTTTTTGTCCGCGAGAAGGCGGCCGAGCAAAATGGGCAGACGCGTTTCGGAAAAGGCTGACTACCTCTGCATGATGGATGTGGCAAGACTTTATAGCTGAGCCCGATATTTAAAATCGCTTCATTTTCGAAACGTGTGGTCTCGCGTGTCGTGGAGCGTGCCCACTTTTTCGAGTTTTAAGGACAGTTGTTGGAGTTTTGCCGTGAGACTCTGCCGTTGATCTCCCTACACTTGAGTGAATTCATAGCTATAATGAGGGAGATGTTTTTAATGGTTTATTCGAGAACGCTCCAAAAGAGGCGGAGCTCGACCTTGTGGTGAATTTATTCGCTTTCCACCCTCTTCTGTTCGATCCAGCCCCTGTGAACTCCAGTTGTAGTTGTCATGGAACCTGTGTTCTCAACTGCAGCAGCGACTTTGTTCAGCTAGCAGGCACGGTTGAAGTGGGAACCAAATATGGACGCAGTGCGTGTCGCACCCCTGTCATCGAAGGTCAATTCATGGGGGAATCTTTGGCAGAACTTCTACCGGATCGACAACCTCTACGAACTGTGCATCTGAAACAGCAGGGTTCAGCGGCCACATAGCAGGTTACCCCATATGGATTAGCTCCCACGAGAAAGCGCAGGATCTACGTATTCGAGACCGATGGCTTCCCTGGACTACGTTAAAACGTCGCCTATCGGGCCGCACCCAAAAAGCATTGGGAAAGGCGGGAAACTCGCCTTTCCCAATGCTTTTTGGGTGCGGACGAAGGCGACGTTAACGCGACCTAATGGCCGACCGCAATGGGCGAAGTTTAGGCAACATCTTAAGTGAGCCAATGTATAAGGTGGCACTTTGCATAGATGGCGAACCTGGCAGAGAAAGGAGAAGGTGCATGGAGATTGCAGAGACGCAGAGGGTCATGTAGGGGGCGACTACGTTGTACACCTGTGTACATTTTAGTTGCCGTCTATCTGCTCTGTTCACTTTCACGTGCACATTCTCCTTTCTCTGCACGCATGCATTGGTCGCATTGAGCGTCTCTGCGCCCCTGCCATGCGCAGTGCGCAGGGAAAAGGGTGTTCGTGGAAGGTGTAGAGTGTGGGCAGCAAGAAAGCCACTGGAGCTATCATATTGATAACTTTCTGCCAACAAGGTGATCAGCTATCCCCTGCAGTGCTCAACTTACTGATCGTATTATAGCTCCTTCCTTGGTCCTAGTAGCATTTCACCTCTGTACATCTAGGCCATGATCGTTTCAAACACGTCGATTGGCGAAGTGGGTTCGTTCCTTGTTGACATTGGATCGCTCGCGGGATTAATTCTCCATGATGCTCAATGTTTCGCAACCCTCATAGGTTACTACCTCGCTTTCTACAGTTCTTTGAAAGTAACCAAAGCGCTTGAAAGCGCTCATGGGCGCTGCATTACATGGTACAAGTCCATGGCGACGCGACTTTTGTTGGGAATGTAGTGAAGTCCGCTATTTTGAGCGGGGTCATCTGGCTCTCTCGCCTTTCATTATTCGCCGTTCACGGCCGTAGTTCACCACCTTTAACTCCCAGTCTATGGCACTTTACTACCGTCCCTGCGCATAGAAGAGCCATCCACTCTGGCACCTCATGGCTGGCAATGACAAGGAGATGTATGGCGAATGTCGTTTCCGGCTTCGATCGATTTGTGGATCAGTAGAGCTGCTTGAGTCAGAACGCGAGAAACATGGCTCTTTTCTTTTCTCACTTCGAACTTGAAGAAGCCGACTAGGATGTGCATGATTCGGTCAAAACTTACTACAAGTTGTGCCCTTTCTAATACCTACGTAGACGTAATTAGAATTCGCTGAAGAAGCTTGTGGCATAAGATCCAAAAAATTTTGAACTTTGACAACCTGTTATTCCAACACAAACCGATTGAGCCTCGTAGAACCACGAGTTTCCCGAGTTTCCCCAACTATTGAACAGTTTATTTCACAGTATGAGATCCCTTAGGTCCAATCCTCAAATGAAGAGTATTTCATTGCAACGGTGACTTGCCTGAACCTATTAAATCGTCCTTCTTCACGCACAACAGAAGTGTTAGTTGCTTGACTTGCATTTGTCTTGCTTGGATGCTCTTGCTTGAAGAATAACAGTGCCATCACCAAGATAGGGAAAAGGAGTCGGTGTTCAATCTGAGTTTGCTTTGAGTTGTTTGAGCTTTAAATAAGGAGAGCAGTGTCCATAAACCGTAAGCGTAGACAGCCCTCTATTAAGGATGTTCACGACTTTGACGGCTCGAAAGTGGACGTCAAAGGCGCTATCAACCTTGTCAGCTTGTTTGCTACCCGTGACGCAAGGTTTGTGCAGTGGGTGCTGCATCCTCTCGTTCGATATTCTCTTGCCTAGACCATTCGGCTTTGATCACTCTTTCTGTGTGATGGCTCATGCGTTTGCATTGAGAATCTCAGTGGTTCTCAAATGTGAATTGGTCCATCAGGTATCTGTCGGGATCAAACCGATGTGCGGCTCACAACGAAAGGTAGCAGTTCAATCCAACTCTCTGCATTGTAGGTTTCCTGAAATGGCATCCTTCTGGTTTACAACCCTGTTTTATGTAAGTACGCCTTTTGGCAGCCGCCCAGATCCATAGCACCGTGGAAAGCAGTTGACCCGAATTCCTTTTGGACGCAGGCAGCTGATGAATTCAACGAAGTTCTCTTGAAATACGTTTTTGTAGCTTCATGTACTTGTCGAAACCTATCCGAGCTCATGCCAATGGGGAAGCTGTCCAGCTTTCTGAGAATTGCTGGGAATGTTGTTGTTCTATCTTGCACAGAGGTGCAGAATTCGCTAAAAATCATCGATAGGAACTATCATACGAGGACAACCAATATAATACTTTTTTTATTGAAATAATCATCTGTATAGCATTATCACAACAACATAACAAAAACAGTGTAGTTCTATTCTATAAAAAATACAATTATTAAAAATCGCTGGAAACGTGCTCGAAGGGTAAAGCGGAACGAAAAGGGCTGCAGTGGATCAAATACTTGCTTTTTTAGCGAAATTGACCCAGTTTTCGACAGTTTGTCTACCCATATCAAGCACAATAGACTTCGACTCGTGATCTCTTCTTCTCATTTCAATTTGTCTTGACTCCTCCTACAAAATGAGCAAAATAGAGGGAAACGGATACAAAGAATGTAAATGTCTAATCAAATGAAGTATGAGAATAAAACAAAGAAATAAAATAGAACAAAAGAAAATAAAAAGTAACCTAAAATCAGTCTGATCGAGATACACTCTGGTAAAGGTGTGCTTCGCGATTGATCGCGTAGAATGTGCCGAGTTAGAGGAAGCGCGCATAGGTGCTATGGGAGGCTGGTGTGCCATCCCTACCGCGGAAGGCGACTCACATTATGAGCAAAGCCATCAGAACCCAGACGCTGACAGGCACTGCAAACCCCTTCTTAAGCACTGCATGCGGCTGGAAGAACCAGGGTTGAAGAATTCTCGGGGTCGTGCTTGAATTAGTGTGAATTGTTGGAATAGGTTTGTTGTACTTTTAATATCACTAATTGTACTTCAGTTGAAGACAGAGAGAATAGTATAATGACGTTACATATACTACCCTCCTCTCCCTCGATGCCACTTTCGGGGCTAGCTTGGGAACAAGCTGGGAGTATACCAGGTTTAGCAGGTCCAAAGATACTATCGACCACTGAAGGATGCGGGACGGGGCCGTAGGGGGTGATGGAGAGGAGGGAGGAGCTGTTTTGATCAAAATGACATATTGATCCAAAATCCCTCGGAACTGGCTGACCCACAGGAGGTAACTTCGGAAACACGTTAGGGCCACCGTAATCCAAGAAGGACTTGGCTTGCAGAATTACGTTGAGGTACTTATGCATAAGTCACCAGAACCTACGCCGAATACTTCTGTCTCACACACTTTAAAGGAATCCTTCGCGGAAATCATGCTCTTATTTGGGCCATGAATCACTGACTTGAGACTCATTATCCACGATAAGAATGGAAAGAACAGAAATATTGCTTTCGTTCTGGATGAAATTTCAAAAAAATCGAAAGGGCTGCTACGCGTTCAAGTTGCCCATGGACGTCTTTCACAAATGCTGGCGACGGGGATGCCTCCACTTGGTTCTTAGAGTGCCTTCACTAGAAACTCTTTCTGGCTTTCTGCTTTATTGCATTCACATCTTACACTTCTACTGCATCATATTCTATCGAGTGTTTGCCTCTATTCTCCAAAATCGATCACTTTACCCGGATTGCGTCGCCCGATACGTAGCCAGCTAAAGGCCAACTTCTTTCCATATCTCGTTTGGCTCCGCCCGAATTACCTTCGATGACCATAACGTGTAGTTTTTGGCGTCTGTTTCCTTTCAGAAACCGAATCGTCATGCGTGAAACTTTGCGTGCTGTTTCCAGCGATCACAGCCGACACATAAATGTCAAGCAGAGTGCAAGAATTTTCCGCGAAGGATTCCTTTAATTGCTATTGGGAGCTAATTTATCAAACTGATCACAACGCTTCATTTGGAAGACTGAAATAACGAACATTTGGAAATGAGTTCAACGTTGACCATATGACACTTTGATATGATGCACGGATGCACTACAACCTTCTAAATTAGAGAGCCTTATCATAATGGAAAATAAACTGTTTCCGCCAAAACGTGTCCTATAGGACTATTGGGCGCCATGATCATGAATATGAATTCGCCTAATTTGGGGGGGAGGTGCGGGCGCCAAATTTTCCACCGAGTTGCACTAGGTTGCAACACACGTTCTCGCAAAGTTCATTGAAACCTTGCATACAAAATTATTCAACATCCTGATTACGAATCTGAAAATCGTCCTTGGCGCCAGCTCATATTTGTGTCATTTGATGCCGGCCCCAGAATTGTCGCTAGGGGGTCAGCGCCAAGAATGAATGTCGCATTGGTAGTAACACTATATGATTTCCGCATTCAAGCTTCGAACGAATTGGTGAAAACAGGTGTTTTGCGCCAATTTGGCGCCAACACCAGAAATAAGTGTCATATTCGTAATCATGGCCAGTCAATATCCTCATAGGAAGACTTTCATAGAAAAATTCTTTTACTTGCAGATAAAGCTGCACAGGGCCGAATTTCGGAGAATCGGAATTGCTCAAAAAAATAAGATCAATGGAAGTCACCCTTGCTCACGGAAGGCGCAAATATACAGTGCGTACCAAAAATATGTGGACACCTAAAAATTTTGTCCTCTGGGAAACTGTTGACTTCTGAACCACGAGATCGCCACCATTCGATTTCTCGGATACGGAAGCCTTAGATTTTCTCATTTCTCACCGTTTTACATGCAGCTTTATTTTTTTTAATTAATGAAAAAACTTCCCCCTGCTTTCTCTGTATCAAAAGTATGTGAACACATTTCGAAAATGGAAGCATCTTCAGAATCATAGACTAGTAGGACTACCAAAAATTTTGGTGAGTTCAAACAGTTTCGGCATGTTCTGAACCAGGTACTCAATGCTTGTTTCGTCGAACTCTTCCAAAGCAGCTAATTCAGCAACTTGTTGAGTCATTTGGGGTATTACTCTTTCTTTATTAGCACAGAAGCAGTGAACTACCATCCCCTTACGTTTTCAATAACGATGTGGTCTGAGGAAAACGCCAGCTAATTCAGTACCCAAAACCATCGCGCTTGGCTCCTTCCCAGATGGAATACGTGTAAGGGACCCCCCTCAGGCTTGGTGCAAAAAAAGTGTTTTGTGACGCTGGCTTCTCGAAAAAGGTATAAGTCGGGATCCAAGCACCTCGTTATAATCTCGATTGCCTACTTGACATTCTGGCAATGTCAATATCCCACTTTTGGCTTCTTTCGAACCACCCCAGACAATTGATGAGCCTCCTCCGAAATGTCTCTTTGAGTACGGCTGCGGGTCACGGTGAAGGTCCCTCCATTAGCAACGAGATCCACCCGAATACCCAAAGATGAGCTTTTTCTCACCAGTTGGGGTTGTCTAAGGAGGAATTATTCACAGAGCGGCTTTTATTTTTTTTTCTTACACGCTGCGTCTCCTAATGATACAGCCACTTAGAAATTGTTCAAAATCTCGAATCCCACGAAGTTTCTGGAAAAACGAACAAGAGAAAACTGTGTCAATTGATTACAAATTCGAAAATCAACACAAAACTCCCAGTTGAAAATGATAAAATATTTTATCCTAATTTTTTTCAGAAAGGTCGCTTTTCCTATGTCTCCAAGTGGTGCAGCCACCCCGTCTTTCTTCGTTGCAGTTCGTTTCTGCTCGATGGATTTGGTTTGCAGTCAGCGATTTTGCTTTTTTGGATTATCAGGAAAGAAAAACAACTGTTCCGCTTTGAAGAGAGGCAAATTTGCGCAAAAAAGAAGATGTAAGCGCCAGGTGGTCAACATTGCGCGAAAATTTGATCGAAGCTACGGAACTTAGAATTTCTTTTGAGTCCTGTAGAAAATAGAACTAAGAATGGCTCTGGACGCTATTCTGTTTTTTGGTTAAGATGAACGCTCCATTATCGGACAGCATCCAATTTCATCAAGGCGTGCTAGGAAGTTGAGTCTTATTCAAAAGCTAAAGGAATCTTCCACGGACCATGGACCAGTGGAGTAGACCGGAAGTGGTTTTGCGACGAAATGCATGGTAAGGGTACGGATCCACGTTCATGGGAAGGTTGAAGTGAATCCTGTTCACGTTCGTGCGTTCGACACGTGGATCGTACCTACCATGCATTTCGTCACAAAAACTTCCGGTCCCGCCCACTGGTCCATGGTCCGTGGAAGATTTCTTTAATCTCTTACTGGACAGTGCTGGGTATGTACTGAAGGGCTTTCAAGATCGTTTTTTAGCAGAAGGTGAAAAGACAGTGATTTTTCGAAAAGAAATCCTCTCAAAAACCGAGTCACTTTTGCAAGTAAAGAGTAGCCAAGACAAACGGAGGAAGACCAGCTCTGCCTAGTAAGTTTCAACTCCCATCTGCATAATGTCACGTTTATCTTAACCAAAAAAATAAAGAAACGTCCAGAGCCCTTCTTAGTTCCATACCCTACAGGATCCAAAAAGAAGTGGCTAATTGTTCCGTGGCTTCGCGCAGTGATCACCTGGCGCTTGAATCTTCTTTTTTGGAGAGGATTTGCCTTTCTTCAAAGCGCAACAGTTGTTTTCCTTTCCTGATAATCCAAAGAAACAAAATCAATGACTGCAAGTCAAATTAATCGAGCAGAAACGAAATGCAACGAAGAAACACTGGGTGGCTGTCATTTAGAGACATAGGAAAAGCGACCTCTCTGGAAAAATTAGGATAAAATTTTTTGGCATTTTCAAACTGGAACTTTATGTTGATTTTTGAATTCGCGACATTTGCGACGCGAATTTGACACCGTTTCCCTCCTGGACACTTTTCCAGAAACTTTGTGAGATTCAAGATTGAACAATTTCTAAGTGGCTGTATCACTAGGAGACGCACTGTAGTTTCCACAAAAGCGCTGTCTGTCCGGGTTCAACGCCCCATGTTGTGATTTTATTTTGGAAGGGAATTCCAGCCTTGCCAATCTGTGCTGCGCATCCATACACGGAGCTTTCTTCATCTCCTCTCGTGTCGCGTGCGCACTCGATAGGATGGAACATCGAATGTCTTTTTTATAGGAGGGAATTCATTTAAGCGGGTACGCGGGTAGCAGACCAAAGAAGTTTTGAGACAGAACAGACTATTCTCGTGTTGTTTTGAACAGGTAACGATTGTAGACGACCCTCATTTAGTGCTGGGAGCTTAACATCAGGATTATGGATCTCTTTCTCAACAAACGAGGACGCACGAGGTAAGCAAACCAGCCCTTTTGGCGTTTTGGCTGGGACCGTATGCTGAATGTTGGGGAGTGAATGGGGCCCTCAACGGTCTACGCTATACTTCAACTCGGTTGGTACGATTGGAGAGTACTGACGCAAGTGGTGCAGCTGGTCCAGCAGCTCCACCAGAAAGGCTGGTTTGCTCACCCCAGGGCTAAGCCTTAGAGAGGGGTGGGGCCGTCCTCTCCTTAAGGCTTAGTTCTGAGGTAAGCACTAAATTGTGGCGGTTCTAAGGACCGAGTTGAAGTGTTTCGTCCACCGTCGGGGACTCCATCCCCTCCCCAAAATTTGGTATACGGTCCCAGCCGAAGCGCCAAAAGGGCTGGTTTGCTTACGTCAGGACGCACAACCGGGGACGGTAGTAAAGTGCCATAGACTGGGAGTCAAAGGTGGTGAACTGCGGCCGTAAACGGCGAATAATGAAAGGAGAAACAGGGAGGTGACCCTAGGATAGACGGCGAACTTCAGCACGATGTTGGCAAAACCGCTGCATCGCCCGGAATTGAACTCTCTGCTATTCACTTAACAGCGGGCACTGATACCACTACGCCATCAACGCTGCATTGCACATGCTGGAAGGGTTGCTGAGGTAGAGAACAGCCGTCCGGGGGAGAGGGGACCAGCGGATCAATGGGCATGGCAGGGACGCAGAAAGGCGGCGGGGCAATTTGCCAAAACGGCGAGCCGGCAGAGAAAGGAGAAAGTGGATGGAGATTGAAGAGACCATAAAATGTACCCGGGCGACGGACTTTTGGTGCGTCCGGGGTTGCACGCGGCGAATCGCGCGGCGGGCTGCGCGGCGATCCGGATGAGGCAGGTCTTCGCGGGCTCCTACAGTGGGATTCAACACGTCAGAACGTTTGCAGATCGCGGATAGAATCCACATGGTTCAGCGATTCGAATTAGTTACATTCCAACGCATGGATTTTCAAAGGCAGGGATAGAGAAGGAAAGGAACAGCAAAAGGTTGTGATTGCAATCAGGGCGCTTAGGTTGTTGGCATTGTTGTTAAGGGGGGAGGGGGAGAGGGAGAGGAAATCATATGAACAGAGAGATTCAAATTGGTTGATTATTGTAATTATTGTGTTTGGGACTAACAATAAGACTATTCATATTTATAATATGATAATAGTGCCATTTCTATTAAGTTCCTCTCTTTCATCTCCTTTCCCTATAATGTGACACCGCTCCCTTTCACCGATCTCCGCCAGTAAGAAGTTTCTTTCAAAGCAGAACTGTGGATTCTATCCGCGATCTGCACACGTTCTGACGTGATGTATTCCACCGCGGGAGCCCGCGAAGACTTGCCTCGTCTGGATCGCCGCGTGCAACCCCGGACGCACCAAAAGTCCCGCACCCAATGTACCCCCCGAGTACGCACTGTATAGGTGTAAAAACGTCTCATCAAAAGCTTCAGTACTTCCCTACTCGGTTTATAAGAACTCTTGGTGAGCTCTATAGCAACTTTACGACCAGAATCTCACCATTCTACAAGGAGGTCATCATCGACGTCAAGAGAGGGGTTCGACAGGGCGACATCATCTCGCCCCAACTCTTCAGTGCCGCTCTCGAAAACGTCACGCGTCAGTTGGAGTGGGAAGACATGGAGTAATGGACGACGGCCGGCAACTACACCACCTTCGTTTTGCTGACGACATCGTTCTTATAACGCCGAACATCGAGCAAGCGGAGCGAATGCTGGCTGATTTTGACTGCGCCTGTGATAAGGTCGGTCTTTAGCTGAACCTAACGAAGACGATGTTTATGAGAAACGTATTGGTTTCTGATGCCCCATTCACGCTCAACGGAACGAACATCACCGAATGCTCCAGCTACGTGTACCTAGGTTGGGAAATCAATATGGTGAATGCCCTAGCTCCAGAGCTGAGCAGGAGGAAACGGCATGGGTAGCATTTAAGAACAACGAGGGAGTAGTGAAGAAGACGAAGAACGTCCGGCTCCGTGCCCACCTCTTCGATTCCGCTGTCCTTCCTGCCCCAACCTACGCCTCAGAGACTTGGACTCTGCGCAGGCAGGACGAGCATGCAGTCAGCGTTATCCAACGCGCTATCGAATGCTAGGAGTAACCTTATACACACAAGTGCAGAGGGTAATCCGGAGTTCGGAACTACGCCAACGACCGAAGATCAGGGACGCTGTCGTTTTCGCCAAGGAATCGAAGATAAGGGGGGCCAGACACGTTATGCAATTTTGCGATGACCGTTGGACCAGAGCGGTTACCGACTGGATCCCTCGGGACGTCAAACGATCGCCTGGACGACCGCCGACCCGATGGTCGGACTTCTTCGCGAAAGCTCTGAACAAAAGGAATGAACGGCTTCGTGTCCCTCAAGTGGAAAGCATCCACTGCATCACTCTTGCACGCGACAGGGACGAATGGAGACGTTGCTGGCGCTCGCTCGAGCAAATCGATGATCAACGAGACGACAGGTGATACAGGTGATCAGAAAAGTTCAGAAAATGGGACTTACTCTCTAAATTTTTATATAGAGCCCGTCGGTTACCCGTAGCTGACATTTTCCGAAGTAAACATCTTCGTGTCAGCTACCGATGGCTGACGTTGTCGTGAATTGGTTAAGCATGATAACTTTAAGGTGGGCGGAAGTGGTGTAGCGGCAAGTGGCACGCTTACCACGCGAGCGGTCCGGGGATCAAATCCTGGGTCGTGAGTCGCCCGGGCCAACCAAGCCTTCCATCCCTCTGGGGTCGGTTAATTGGTGCCAGACTTGTCTGGGAGGATAAAAAACACTGACGTGCTGGCCGCATGTCATTGTATAGGCCACACCGCATTCAAACACCACTGCGAATGTACAAATAGAAGTAGAAAAACGGGATTGATCAACGGCAAAAGCTTTATCTCATCCTTTTAAGCTTAAAGTGATGCTGAACCTATGGACCTTCTTGTTGGCTCACTCTAGTATATACAGTAATAGGCTAGTATAACCAGTGAACAAAAAAGTAGGCTCATTTTTCAAAAATAGCTTAGATTGAGCATGCTGTGAAGCATGCTTGGGGAATAATCTAATCAACTAATGACCAAAAAGTTGAGTAACTCATATAGAGCTATGTGATGAACCAATAAATAAATAAGCTTTGATGTTTGTGCATTCACAATTTATAATATTTCAAATTATTTAATCGAACAAACATATATTGCCGAACACACCAGACCTAATATTATTCTATCCTGTTTGACATCTTCACAAAATTAAGTTTCCTAAGAAATGAACTAGAAAGGATTCATGGTTGCTAGGAGAGTACCCAAGCCAAGTAGGAGGGTGATCTCAGATCTGCACAGGGTGAGTAACCGTTTGTGAGTAGATGCTTAAATATTTTCTGACTGGTACTCGGCGATGAAATACGTCATTCTTTTTCTCCTGTAAACCACCGAAAAGCTTATACTTTATATATTCTATAAGTGTGTAAGAAGATCCCAAACGATACCCGTGGTGATTCGTCGTCACTGCTTTCCCTCCAACCCTCGCTTGAATCGTAAAGAGGATTCACTCGCATGATAAACTCACAAAGTTGCTCGAAATCACGGCTCTGAACATTTCATTGGACGAGGAAATTGCTCTTTTCACACTTTCCTTCTTACCTGCATTTGTAAGCTGTTCCGAACAAAATTATTGTCACGGCTTTTTGTAGAGCGAGTCGACATCCTGTTCGATTTTCCTTGAGTGTTCGATCGCCTATTGTACGTGCATTTTTGTGTATAAACTCGTAAACAGCAAGCAGTGAAGCCTACTAGTTCATTGAAAGCACACAATGAAAAAGCAGCTCGTTTGAACTCAACCAAGGTGGTCAGTGATGCAGGTATTGGGGAACCAAGAAAAAGAAATAGAACCCAAGAAGTGGGACCCTTCTTAGCATGTTAGTCTACACATTGGTGCGAGTCTCATCAATGCCGCTCTCATCGACGCGAACGCCCTTTCTCTTGATGGCTAGGATCAAACAGGGTTACGCAGTTACGGGCGTGCAGCTGCGCGAACGGGGCCGGTACGGTCTTGCTGGACTGCTGGAAGCACATTCTTCGCTGGCAGATCGTCCAAATCGAGGCGCCCGCCTGCCATTTGACTAAATACATTTCCTCTTCTTCAGCCTCCAATCTTAGGAATCCTCCTTTTAAAGTTGAGCTTAGCCCCACTGAAGTAGTCGCTTCTGGATAGAGGTGTGTGGTCCGCCCTTGCAGAAATCGCCCCATTTTCGCACATAGTACGCGTCACTAAGACGGTAAGCTAAGTTTTGGATAAAATCCCACCAAAACTATTGGAGTTCGCCCACCGTTTGACATCTTATGTGCGTTACTACATATGTTGATCTGCTATGCTCCTCGCTCGGACCTCTATACCCCTCTCCATGACTCCAAATTATCTCTCACCTCCGTGCCTGCCTCTTATTAGTAAAGTGTTTGAAATTCCCATGGAATATTGAATTGAGACGTAAGTAAATCATTGATGCCTCGGATAATGGTCAAGAATAAGCCGAATCAAACTGCTACGTGAACCTGCCAAGGAAGCTACTACCGATCAAAGTGGTCCCAAGCTCGACGCCCCGTGGTGACAAAATGTTGCATTCTAGGATGGGCTTCCAGATTGGTGCCAAATGGCGTCTGCGCCAAGAATAAATGTCATTTCCGGAATCAGAGGCATAGGAATCCCTATGTAGTCACTATTGATTCACCTAGATCTCAATTCCAAATTCTATTGGAATTTGGAGTACTTCTGGTTCGACTTTTCCACAGCGCCTTATACATACATACCACCTACAACTTCAATTTCATGAAACGGAGCACCAACTACGAAACCTCCTTTCTTACCGAAGCTAACATGATACCCCGTCGAGGAAACCGGGATCATGCTCATGTTCTGCAAAAACAAGTGGCGGCACCCTTTATTTACCCTTTTCCTCGTTCCTTATTAGAAGGATCAAGGTTAGCATGCCTGTTTTTAGGCATGGGCCTATTCCAACAAACACATATGAAATAGACGGATTGAGCTGTCCTTGAACTAAGCAGCGTTTACAGATCAACTTACCTAGAGCCACTATGCCGAGTTCTGAAGAAGTGACTTTCTTTACGCTTCCTTAACAGATACCGTAACCTCGCACACGACAACATTTCTCGATAGGTATGACGCATACGATCATTGAAATAGGCGTAGATGAATGGGTTGCACACATGGCTGCACAACCAGATCTGACATAAGACCAACCATTTTCAAAACGATTCAGATGAAGTAGTCAATATTCCCTTCACTATGATTCATTTTCTACAAATAGATATGCGAATAATGACGGAACAAGCAGTCACAAGTATTTGAATAAAGCTAAGAAGGAAGCCAAAGCCCATTGCTAGTTGCTTATTTCCATTGAGCAAGTTGAATACACCGTCTTTGTCCTCTAAACGATCAATTTCCCACACTTGGGAAAAGGACAGCGGTCGCTTTTTTGTTCCCGGAAAAACAGGAGTACATTTTTTTTCTTTCTCAAGGCAACGACGTTGTTAGCTAGGAAGGATTCGCCAAAGTTGTCGCAAAGTCTTCCTCGAGAATGTTAGGATGAGATGGAGGAATGAGAGGATGGACTTCTTTGTATACAAGCTGCAGGATGACTTCATCCGACAGAATCCTTTCCTTGAATGAGCTCACGAGGCAATATCTAAAAGGAAGAGAGTGAAGAGGAACTCCTTCCGAAAAACGGCAGATAATGTATCATTTTCTGGTAGTTTATAATAGAAAATTCATTTGGTGAAAACAATCTAATTTCAGAAATCAAAAATTATCACACTCCCAAAATAAGCCGATCTCATAGAAGTTCCGCTAAGATAATACAGTGGAATTCTTTTTCAGATGGCTACTCTCCAGCAGCCGGTAAATACAGTGGCGCTTAAAAGTATTCGGTCTAAAGCTTTAGGCTGTAGTTATTTTTTGCCGGCTCAAATTAGTTCGAATTTTGATATGTTTTGAAGCTTTTCTCACAAAACCAGAATATTCATGTACAGTAGAAGGAAGATCGAAGAATGAAAAATTATTTCAATGGGAATTCCGCAGTAAGGCCATATTCCAAGCCAATTTTAAGTTATTATAAGAAGCTTTCAATTCATCAGAACGGTCGACCGCATAACAAATGACATTGTGCATGTATAACACTTTGTCTATAACCTTCTAGGGTAGATAACTCCCTAACATGGCCTAAGTATAGAATCAGCAAATGTTCATTGTTCCAGGCACAACTTCCTTCATTTTTCTGCTAATTTGACGAGTTTCTTGTCTATGTTCCTGGTTCTTCTTTCTGCCGATGGTTCCACCCTTTTCCATAGTGTCTCGATGACGTGCATAACATTCGTCTGAATTTCCCCTCCGGTAAAGGCACACTATGCTGTTGAAATGAAGTGCAATGCATCGTATCAATCTAGTGCTAGAACACGAAGTCAGCACCGCTCAGTTGCCATACCTGTGGACACCCAGCACTTTAACAATTTACCTAAATACGTTCGCTTCCCCAACTTTTCGAATCCTGCGGTTGTCTGACTGCGAAGTGATAGGGAATGGAATGGTCCAACTCATACCTAATCTTGAGATCCTGTCTGGACTCCAAGGTTATGTAGAGCGACTATAGCAAATTTATGATGTTCAGCGCTGAAGGCACTAGCCAAGTGTGGCGTCCTGGTGGGGAACGTTTCGATTCGAATTATCAATTGTCGCGGAGGCTTAGTTATGGTACATAGACCGTAAAAGAAGTTGGATCAGTGCATGAATTCGAGAAGTGGTAAATAGGAACGTATCCAATCAGATTCTACTAGGTGTTATGCATCTACAATTGTAGTACCTTTAGGTACTGAGTTCGCCTTTAGCAATAAATTGATAGAGAGCATCGTACCTCTACTAGGTAGGAGTGAGTTGGCATAGCTTGCCTTTGACGAAATTCAGACGCACATCTTGTGCACTATCGAAAAGGGTAGGAAAAGCTATGGAAGAAAGAAGAGCCAGATATATGGATCAGAAAATTCGTCAAACTTGGGAAAAATTGAGGGAATTGAGGGAGAAAGGGAATAATTTGGAATTTATTTGGAATTTTATAATACTCGCAAATTTTCAGTAAAATAATTTTTTCATTCTTCGCTTCATCCTATTCAACACACATATGCTACTGCTGTGAGAAACGTCTGCCTCTAAAGCACTGAAATTTGGATTAATTAGATAAAGTAGAAGAAAAATTGGGGCCAAAAAAACCATATAGCCAAATGCTTTGAGCGTCACTGTATACATATCTGGGTGTTTGACCAAAGGAGAGAGTTCTATTATTTTGTAGCACCAGAACCTACATAGAATGAAACGAGTAAAAAGATGAAAACAGCCCAAATAGCAGACCAAAACATTTCGAAAAGCAATCTTTCAAGAAATCATTCATTCTGCTCTGATAATCTTTTTTTTTACATCTTTCCAAGCATGACAAAATCTCTCCTGTTCTGACGCTTCAACAAAATGTCATCGTATTATCACTAAAAACAAATTCCAGAAAAGTTAACCTGGCAATATGGCAATTTTGTGGATTTTCAAAAAAGTCATCCCTATTGATGATATTTGATCTCGCGCCTATTGCGCCTCACACAGGAATCTATAGAGAGAGAAAAAGTGTTACGAAAACAACCAAACATTCAGCTTTGACATTAGATATGGCAAGAGACGTCTACGGTGATATTTTGGAAGTTTTGTGCGTTTTTCAGACGACGACGTTTTCGTTTCTATAGTACGTACGTTGCAGTTAAGTCTGCTATAGACCATGCTCTTGCTTGAAAATTAATGAAACTCATTAATTCATAATGTTTAGGGGATGTCCCATACTACTGAGATAGCCAGTGTAGTTGCTCAGTAAAATCCTATCCCTCTACCTCCATGCACCTTTTCAGAAGTCTTTTGTCGCTGCCGACGTGACTGTTTAGATCACCTGCTATAATGAGTTCGCCTTCCGTATTCAATCTCATGGCCTCGTCCAAGCTTAGATAGAACTCATCCTTCTCACTCTTGGGGCAACCGGCTTGCAGTGCGTTTACGGTGAGTATGGTCCAGTCTTCCTCCTTCATGTATATCCTCACAGCCATGATCCCATCGCTAATCCCGTTCACAGACGAGACCTAGTCCTTGAGCAACTCCGCTACCGCTATGGCCACACCATTCCGCTTGGTGTCTTCCCCATTGTAGTAGAGTTTCACACCTTCTGCGATTTCCCTGGCCTTGGCCCCTTTCCATCGCGTCTCCTGAAGGCATATGACTTGAATATTCCTCCCCATCATCATTCATAAATAAAAAAAAATCGCCATTCCCAAGCCTTTCGGGACTTTCCAGTTAGCGATCCTACATTCAGAATCCCAATCCGAACTTCTTCGGCCGGGGCCGTTTACTCCTCGGTAGCCCTCGCAGACTGACCATAGAACTCGGGCGGGGTTTGGCGCTCCACTTCCGAGTGGCGTCCTAGCATTAACACTGATACTTTTGCGACTTTTGGACATGGTTTTTGTGACCTGGGGTGATCATTAGCCAGCCTCTAAATCTGGCCTGACGCGGGTATACACAACTTCTCAAATACCGTGATCATTTCTTGATAATCGTAAAATTTATTAGACGAATTACTCACAATATGTAGAAGAATCATTTGCCATGTCGTGAAGTAGTGGTAGAAATAAGGCTTAATAAAGAACAGAAACGTCGAGAGCGTGCAGAGAATCGAAGGGTAGAAGAACTGAAACGTTAGGCGAGCCTGAAATTTTCTATGTTACAAAATGTTTCGGGGAGGGGGGGGGGGGAACAGCATTGTAGCAAAGTTCGAAAGTGGCAGTAAGAGCGCTGTTGTTCTCCTGTCGTAGATTCTTATTCATTTTGATATTACTCTAGAAAATACTTTTCCTCTGTTATTCTTTATCGTCTACAGAACACACACACCTGCCCGTTAATTCCAGCGGCCAAGGAAGTCTGCGCTACAGATTCCACAACACAAATGACGATGATCTCCGAGTTAATCTGATAACCAGAAGTTCCAGTGATAGCCAACAGATAACAGATAGGAGTTGTAATTAAAGGGAACTGATGGAATACCACAACTGGCTAATCATATCAATGGCTGAAAACCACTGCGTTTTGTGGAAGCCGTCGCCATTTATGTTGTGAAGTGTGCATTGAGACGCATCTGACCGCCCGATACAAAGGGTACAAACCGAACGTGCCTCTGCTACGCGTTGCTCTTTTCTATTCTTTTTGCTCCCTTGTTTGTTTTTTTACTTGGTTTTCTCTTGTTTCTCGTTCTGCTTTTCCGCTTCAAGTGCACCGCTAGTTGATAGTTGGTGAAGTTGTTGTTAGCTAGTTGTTTATACTTGTAACTAATGTATTGGTTGTGATTTTGAAACTTCATAATCACCAAAATTGAAGGTGACGGCTAGCGGCTAGCTGGCGTTATGAGTTCCATGAATTCAAAGGACTAGCACAAGTTGACAAGTTGTATATTCGCAAAATACCAGAAATAATCGAAGAAGAGCCTGGTACCAATGTTCATACATGGCAATGTACAAGGTCTTATATAGAAGTTCCAACGTGGAAAGCTGGTGAAGAACATTGGGTGCGAAGGGACAGAGGCAGAACCCAGGGGGAATTTGTGTGAACCATTTCCTCTTCGGTCCGTAGGAAGACTCCTAATTCTCTAGCGCACTCTCGTCTATGCGATCTCTCACCTCCTTCTGACCCCGCGCTCAGACTCTCACGCCTTAGCGCAGCAGGATGGCGAAGGTGAGCAAGCCCTTAACTCGAAGGAATGCCTCCGAAACGAAATAATGTGGTTTTTGCTCGCGATTACGAAAGATTGGTGCTAAATGGGCAAGAAGTGAAGAAAAAAGAAGAATCTGTCGAAAACGCTCAAGGTGAAGACTCACTCACCATCGTAATCGGCTGCGCTATGGCAATTAGAGACTGAGCGTGGAGAGGAGAGTTTGTGTTTGGTGAGAGAGCGCAACAGGTGAGAGGGCGCCAGACAACAGCCTGCCGCGAATGTCGAACAGTGCAGCTGCTGCAGCTTACTTGGCGAAGCCCTAGCGCCTTTATTGAGTGATTTCTATGCACGGAAGTGTCACATCTGTGATTGTCCTGACGGGCTCCATCCTACAGACGAAAGGGAATCGTTAACACGACTTTTGCCTGCGTTGTGCCTTTAAGCGTTTTTGAGAGATTCTTTTCCTTTCTTTTTCTTTGCTGCCGGCTGATATGGCACAATCACTTTCATACTCGTGTACAAGCGCCCCCCCCCCACTCTGGTCCGGGGTATGTCTTTGAGCAAGAAAGATTACCACAATGCAGTTAATCTCCAAATTACAGTGGTAACAGGGTTTCCATTCAGTTGCCACATGATACATGCACCCTGATTTTCCATTTTCACCTAAGGTGTGTCCCTATTAACCTCTGTTTCTGGATACGGAATCTCAAAGGAATAAGTGAAATGAGATGCAACGCAAATACCTGTTTCCGAAACCGATTCGCACTGTTTTGGTTTAGCTTATTTGAGCAGATTTTCTGTTTTACTTGCTGAATCTTCCGAAGAACAAGTGTCGAGCAAATCCACTGCGCTCCAATTCCGACGCAGTCAATCGAACAAATCGACGCGAAAAACAAGGCTATAAGATCGGCTATTAGATGAGGTACAGCAAAGAAAAGGAATAAAGGGAAAACATATTGGAACAGAATGTATGAATGATAACCACTTCAGGAATAATCGCCGCAACCTCTGATAGCCATCAAGCATGCATTTAATAGAGACGAAATTATTGGACAATTTTTAGAACGGAAATCACACTTTAGAGACGGTTGCGGATAGGTCGGACGGAGTCAAAGGGACGTGCGGAAAGGCCTTGTGGCGCCACCAATCAGGCGACGTTGGGAGAAGGGTTCGACGTTCGATTTCGGAGTTACAGGCTAAACGGTCCTAAGATCCGGATGCAGTAGCTAAGCGAAATTTTCTTGCCATGGGTGAAGAAGGCTAAAAAGGCTTCCTAGTGTGACACTCCGAGAGCCACGTGAGATCGTTTCCGCCGCAAACATTTGTGACTTCTTCTTCTTCTTCCTGGCGTTAGTCCCGCGCGGTCGCAAGGTCCGCTGCCTTTGTCAGTCGTCCCCACTCTGCTCTGTACAGGGCATTATCTACCGTGGTTGTGGCTTCACTCGCTTCACTCAGGTCCTTCTTGATTACGTCTCTCCACCTTTTCTTTATGTCGTTTGCCTTGCACTTCAATGTCCATCGCTGTTCTTGTCGGATGATCCTCTGGCCTCCTTAGCACATGCCCATACCATCGCAGACGCTGTTCACGTACCTTCAGTTGGACAGGGACAGTCTGCATGACCACTCTGACATCCTCGTTTCTAATGCTGTCCAGCCGCGTCCAGCCGCAAGCATATCAGCATCCGCATTTCGGCGGAGTGAAGGTGCCTTTCATGTTTTCTGTTCAGGGCCCAGCACTCGCTGCTATAGAGCACCACAGGCCTTACCACTGTCCGGTACACCTTTCCTTTGAGCGCTCTGGAGCACCTCCGATCACAGAGGATTCCAGTGGACCCCCTTCTCATCCATGCAGCGTTGATCCGAGCTTTCACCACCTGAACCATACTACCATCGGCTGCTAGATCATTTCCAAGGTAAGTTATAGCGATTCGTACCCTCTTTGAGGTCAGGAACTTGGCTTTTTGATATTTAACCGGAGCCCACTTTTTGCCAGGACTTCCGGCCATTTCTGAACCTTCGCTTGAAGTTCCTCTCTGCTATCCACTATCACGGCGATGTCGTTAGCGTAGAGGATTGTCTTCAGTGGTCCTTCCACAAGCCCCTTCACCAGGACATGTAGTGTGGGGGCTCCGAGTCGATCCTTGGTGCACTACTCCGTTATGCCCACTTTCTTCGTTAGGTACGTGTGGGATGCGTATAGCTGCCTTTACCCCATCGTACATGTCAATCACCACAGGGGTGTTCCGGGCACACTCCATTCCCTGAGCGATCTCCACAGTAATGCTCGCGGTAGCCGGCCGAGCGCCTTCTCTAGGGCTAGGTAGTAGGGAAGGACGCTTTTCTCTGTACTTTTCCATCACTTGTCTGACGATGAAGATGGCATCCGTTGTCGAACTTTTGGGCATGAATCCGAACTGTTCCTGGGAGAACGGGACCAGCCCCGGCAGTTTCAAGTCAGCCAGTCGCTCGTACAACTTCATTCTATGCGCGGTCAACTGATACCGCGGTAGCTGGAGCAGCCATCGCGCCACCCTTCCTTGAAGATGAGTACCACAGTATTGGTCCCCTAGGCATCCGGCATCCCTCGGCTGTTACCGTGTTCAGCAAGCGGGTGAGCCACCTTAACCCGTGCTCTCCGAGCTCCTTCCAAGCCTCTATGTGTACTCCATCTGGACCAATCGCCTTTCCAACCTTCATCTTCCCAAGTGCACACCGAACCTCATCCTGCAATAGGACCAGCTGCTGCCTCTGCCGTGAGTTGCTCTTGTGGGGAAACTCCTCGTTCACTTCGGCTGGTTTCCTCAAGATGGCGCCGTTGCTGCCCTTACCCTCTTTACAACTCTGATATCTTTGCCCTATGTCTTTGCCCTTTGCTCTAGCATGAACGCCCACTTCTCTGCGTTTCTGCTTTCCAGCTTCTCCTACACGGCGTCCATCTCCATGCTCTTCGTCTTATCGAGGCAGCTTTAGCGAGCCTCTCGCAACTCTTGTAGGCAGCAAGGTCCTTCGGGCTTCTGGTCCTCTGCCAGCGCTTGTAGGCCTCTTTCTTCTGTTTGACGATTCGCTGGACTCCCACGTTCCAGAACTATGCTGCCTTGTCTCCCCTGATTCCACCTGCGTCTCCCCTAGAACCTCCTTGGCACATCGCAGGATGGTCCTAGCCGCTTTGCCCCGAGCCCACTGTTGGTCCGTTCGGATCTGGAAGACCAGCTTCTGTCATCTTTCGTCTCAGGTCATCCTTCTCTGCTTGGTGCAAGTCCCATCACTGAATTCTATTCTCGGTTCTTACCTTTGTCTATAGCTATGTCTGCCAGGATGGGCCAGTGCTGGGAGCCACTTCTTCGCCAGAGAGCACCTTGATATCCTTCACAGTTTTGAGGGATGATCTTCTTATGAGCGCATGGTCGATTTCCGTTTGTCTCCCTTCTGCTGTAGGTTACCTTCTAAGCCTCCCTTTTCGCGGAAAACGAGCTGCAGATTGCCAGATCGTGGGCCGTAGGCAGGTCCAAGACCCTGTTTCCCTCGACCTTTCTCACTTTTTGTTTCACCCCCGTGCACCCTTTTCCAGGCCTCCTCTGTCACTGCCGACTGGCCATTCAGATCACCTACCATGGTGAAGTAATCACCTTTCGGAGCCCCTAATATGACCCCGTCTATGTTTAGATAGAATCGGTACTTCTCATTCTCAGGGAGAAGAGCTTGTCTTGCGTACACGGAGAGTGTGGTCCAGTACCCCTTCTTCGTGTCTATCCTCACAGCCATGAACCGATCGCTGATCCTGTTTACTGCGGAGACATGGTCTTTGAGCGACTCCGCTACCGCTATGGCCACACCGTTCCGCTTGGTGTCTTCTCCATTGTTGTAGAGTTTAACACCTCTAGGCATATTTGTTGTGACGGGGTCTTCATCAGCCGGCCTGTTGACATGACGCTAATACTAGAACCATTCTTTCAATTTCTGCAGGGCATGGTTTTAAGCCTCGGCAGGTATCAAACTTACAGTTTAGAGGTGCAGACATTAGTCTACACTCTTAACCACTCGGCCATCCCTGCTTCATGTATTTTACAATTAGGAACTCGTGAACATTTGCCACATATGATAGACAGAATTACCCTCTATTATTATTAGGTTGTCCCATGGTTTGAATCACTTTACATTTGTTGCCGTAAAAAAATTCAAGGAAAATGCTGAAATAAGAAAAAAAACCTTTATAAACGAAATAATCAAAATGGTTCGTTTCACTCCGAAGCAAGGAACATGCTTTGCGAAGTAGAACCCCATACTATCTTACCTGTGGATGTGGCCAGCCCATTTACACACTGCCTATTTTTATTCTCAGTTTTCTGGAACCTATTTTTGAGTTTACTCCTTCATCACTTCGGATTAGGATCTTTCAAGCGCCAAACATCATTGAGAATGAACCAGCAGATAGGCGAAGACACACTTCTTCAAACCACGGTGCACTTATGGTGCAGTCTATTCCGGGTTGCCTCTAATACGCGCGAGGCTCACAAACAACTCGGCATCTGCATCATGTATTTTACAATTAGGAACTCGCGAACATTTGCCACATATGGCAGACAGAATTACCCTCTATTATTATTAGGTTGTCCCATGGTTTGAATCACTTTACATTTGTTGCCGTAAAAAATTCAAGGAAAATGCTGAAATAAGAAAAAAAACTTTATAAACGAAATAATCAAAATGGTTCGTTTCACTCCGAAGCAAGGAACATGCTTTGCGAAGTAGCCCCCATACTATCTTACCTGTGGATGTGGCCAGCCCATTTACACACTGCCTATTTTTATTCTCAATTTTCTGGAACCTATTTTTGAGTTTACTCCTTCATCACTTCGGATTAGGATCTTTCAAGCGCCAAACATCATTGAGAATGAACCAGCAGATAGGCGAAGACACACTTCTTCAAACCACGGTGCACTTATGGTTCAGTCTATTCCGGGGTTGGTTTTTTTTATTTGGAGATGACTCACACTCCAAGTACCCTTCGACAGACAATCTTATTGCCCTACCTAGCGCCAATAAGATTGAAATCGGACAAACTAGTCGCTATTTGCCACAGCGCCTCCGTCTTCTTGAGATGATGGAATTTAGGCATCCCCGTAGAGTCGTAAAGATTTGGAAATAAAAAGATTGTATCTCACATGCTCGTACCCGAGTGCTCCCAACGATCCGCCATTGTCATCTTCCTTCCGGTTTCCCTTAGTCCGTCACTGATCATCCAGCATATTCAGCAGGGTTGTGGAGTGGGTGAAGTGTACTAGCGAATTTCCAAGGAGCAGCACTCTAACATGAATGATTCGGAAGTTCTGACAGCAAAAGCCAAACCTCCTTCAAGTCCGACATTTCCGAGATACTGGTGGAACACGAGAGGTACCTCGCGCTGGGAACCGCCGCCCATTCATACATACTAGAGGTAAGCAAACCAGCCCTTTTGGCGTTTTGGCTGGGACCGTATGCTGAATGTTGGGTAGGGATGGGGACCCCAGCGGTCGACGGTTTACTTCAACTCGGTTGGTACGATGAGAGAGTACTGACGCAAGTGTGCAGCTGGTCCAGCAGCTCCGCCAGAAGGGCTATTTTGCTCACCCCAGGACTAAGCCTTGGAGAGGGGACGGACCCGTCCTCTCTTTAAGGCTTAGTTCTGAGGTAAGCACCAAATTGTGTCGGTTCCAAGGACCGAGTTGAAGTGGCCCGTCTACCGTCGCAGACCCCATCCCCTCCCCAACATTCAGCACACGGTCCCAGCCGAAGCGCCAAAAGGGCTGGTTTGCTTACGTCTTCATACGAGACTAGGGTCAATGAAGAAGGTAAAGATCGACGTCGTAATGGCGATGCATTCAATTTGAAAGTGAAGCGAGGTAAAATCTGCTTTTTTTTCTGAGGTCGTTCAACTGAGAGCATTTATAAAAAATTGGAGACCCCAGGCCAGCACTTGTTTCACCTCCGCCGTGTAGCATCCTCGTGCCAACGAAAGACAACTCAGTCCGAGTTCTAGCGCTTTTCCTCAGGAAGAAATTTTACACTAACCATAAGTGACATGACCACAAACCCAACTTCCGCTCTTTCTTTGTTGAAGAACTCCTGCAATTTCAGAGGGAAGGCAGGATTAAATTCCCATGTATATGCAATACATTGCTGATAACTGAGGTTTTTTTGGATGGCAAGAACTTCTAATGAAGAAGAAAAAATTTGAATTCAAAAATACCCAGAGTGATTCACCAAATATGGGACAACCTAATACTTATTGAACCGAACCTTCCATCCCTCCATAGTCGCTTAATTGGTACTAAACTTATCTGAAAGGATAAAAACGCTGACTTACACACAGGGTACATCGGCTGGCTCCGCAAGTCATGGAGTAGGCCAAAGTGCACAAGATGCTACTACGATTTTAAATGAAAGTAAAACGCGTGGCATATCCCAAAACTTGGACTGATAAACGATGAATGCTTTGTCTTTTTATCTACTTCTTTGACCAGTTTTTCTGTATGAATCACTTGATAAAGAAAAAATGCAAAACATTATTCTTGGAAAGCCCACCTGGACGACCGCCCTCGGTAGAAGCGAAACTGACGGTCCACATATCTCGTCTTATTTCCATGAGTGGTTCCGGAATCGTTCCAGCAGCGGCTAAATGTTAGCAGTTTGAGCAATAGAATGTGAAAAATAGGGAACTTGAGTACCAGCAGTAAGTCCAATGATCCATGTTGATAATGACAGACCAATCGCTACTGAAACCCGATTCAACGACTTCGCTCTTGTCCCATAATAACAGATTGCTACACAACGATTTAGAGCAAGCATTGCGTAAGTGATCTGAACGTAGAGAATAGCTTATTACTGTTGCAAATTTAGTGTCTTCTTTCCCTTTCAATCTTTTTGAAAAATCTTTTTGACTTACCACTAGTACTTACCCTTTCCCTTTTTACCGCTAATTTTTTCAATCACTGACCGCTCTCCACCTCTCAGTGCACACTGATTTCTTATGTATGTACTCAACGTGTGAAATCTACCGTCTTTCACCCTTACTCTCAGGCTCATGAATAGTTACTCCTAATGCTGGCCATCTACAAACACTGAAATGACAACTTACCACTCCAGCAGTCCATGCTGCTATGGAAAGAAAAGAGAACACGAATCGGCTTGCATGAATCTCGCTTTCATCGCCTAGTTTCAGAATAGTGACGTTCAGCAGCATGGATGATTGCTGAAAAGTGTTCTTCTTATAGCCTTTTCTACTATTAATAAAAAGCGCTCCTTCCCTCTATCGGTCTGCATGTCTATCACGGACTTCAGTAAGACTCGCAGATCCACGTGAAGATATCGGGTCAAGTTTGGGATGGATAGGTCAGATCCCGTGAAGTCATCAACAAAGCGGAGGCTCGCCTGAGGGCGTGGCATGCACCGAAATGACAGAACCCAAGGCAAAATTCGAATTTGATCTTGGCCTTGTCTGCCATTGAACCACGACTACTTTTTTAAATCGTAGTACTCGTCTTCTGAAGCGTAGGAAATTTTGCTTAGATACCAGAAGATTGTTTTGACTTGAAGCATAAACCATCATTACACGGAAGCATCCTTTACTAGCCGCCTCGCACTTTCATCTTCTTAATTTGTATTACTACTTATTGGCACATTTTACAATGAAAAGCACTATGGTATGCTCACGTTAGTACTACCTTAAAGAAGGCCAGTGATACACGAAGGATGAAAAAATCGCTGAGAAATTTCCCTTCCTTGCCCATTGATTTCCGCATTGATGCGATTCTCGCCGGTGTTGCCGTCTTCAGCACTAATGCTCTCTCTGCTGAACGACTAAAGGCTCGGGCAGCGAAAGGGAGCGTTCAGCGCCGCGGGGAAGGGCAAGCTAGATCGCTGGGGCATGTCCTTCGATGCGAATCGCGTTTCAGTCTGCACCTTTAGGAATTCCGTCTGTCTCTTCACTAAAATATTTTCTCTGCTTCGTCCTTTGTGCTTAGTGGAATCTTCTTTTAAAGTCTTACAACTGGCTGCCTGTTTCCTTTGTACCGTAGTCGTCTGCATACATGAAGCAACGATATTAGTGGGTGAACGTGGATATGCTTTGCAACGGTACTGTGGTGAAGTCTACCATGTGCTGCTAAAGCAGTAATTTTTGCAGATAGCAATAGCGATCCGTTCTCGCTGATGGAATAGCAGAGGTCGCTGTGGGGGCCTTAGTGAATCTCTCCAAGAAGGTCTTACAATTGGTGTGCTGAGTTATGAAGTAGAGCCTACTTGTTCTGGTGAATACTGATAGCATTACTTGTTCCAGCGACGCTCGTACTTGGCCTGTAAGTGCTTCGCTATTTGGCGAAAAGAGTGATACCTTCTGAGCGCATCGGAATTTCTCACGTAAGGCTAGTAACATGGCTAGATTGAGATAAGTCATGAAGCCAGTTATGGAGAGTGATTCAAAAGACAGCTATGATTCAGTTTACTCCTAGTTGGTATCCTAAATGGGGAAACGACCAGAGATGAGGAACGTTCATTATAGATCACTTGTAAACAAACTCATGAAAATATTGCAAACACAGTTCACCTTACCAGTGGAATTTTTGTGAGCATTTCTTCTGGCGGTAGCTGACAATCACTCGAAGCCATGGATCCATTACCAGACAACAAAATATCCCATCCACACGCAATACCAGCTAAACATAGGAAGCATGACCTTGACAACGAACACGAAAATGAGATAGTAGCTATTTTTGATTTCAGTTTTATGACCTGGGTTGTTTACTCAGTATCATGTACGCTATTAATGTCAACAAAATATTACCATTTTAGCATCTTTAATAGATTTCAAGTGTTCAGATTTGGAGAGGAATGGCACTTGGCTGTGAAACCGTTAATTTGGGAACTCCTCAATTTTCTCCAAGCGCCCTCTCTATCTGCATCAAGCGTTATGTGGAAGGAAAAGCGGGCTCGGGGCTCTCTTTCTTTTAGCTATTGACGGTGCGATCAAGCTGTTTTCTTTGAGGTTACAGTGTTGGTGTGTTGATGAATGGAAGCCTTTGGTGAACGAAGCTTTTTGTCCACCCTGTGATTTAGAAGAGCCTTCTTCAAACAAGGTTTAAATTGTCGGCCGGTGCACTGAGATCGTTAAAACCAGACAGACCAGACCTGGCAAGTTACCTGAGAAAATCATCCTGCTCTTTGCCCACCGACGTGGCCATGTTGGATTGCCAAATTAGGCACGAATGGTGAAATGGATTATGGCGGTGGGACCATGTTTGAAGCGACATATCTCATTAATATCGTTGCCTTGCTAGCGCATTTCTCTTGCGCGCAAACGTTCTAGCGAAGAAGGTAATGAAGATTCCTTCTTAAGAAGCTTAGAGCATCCACGTCACGGGGCAATAACAATGTATACCAGCGTTGCTCCACGACTCAGGTTCATAAGCGTGCACTGGCCTTAAAGGCATGCCCTAGGATCAAATTGGGGTGATTCTTGCACACGATGCGAATGTATTGGTGTGAATGGCGGCAGTCAAGAAACAAATGAAAAGAATTCACCGAGAACGCTTGAGGTGAAGGCTTACATGCGCAGTAAGCTGTGCTAGGACAACGAAAGTCAAAGCGCTGAGAGGAGAATATGAGGTGAGAGAGCGCAAAAGAAGAGAGGGTGTCAAACAACAGCCTGATATAAGAAAAAATTTGCAGCTACGGCACCTTACTTTGCAAAGCCCTAGCACTCTTGTGGGTGATTCCGTGCACAGGAATATCGAATCTGTGATTGTCCTCTAGGGCTCTATCGTACACACGTTGAGCGTGAATTCATTTCAAGTCAGATGCTTTCCATGCGACATGTGTAAAAAGTAGCTAAAGGTTCGCAAGAAATTAAAAGAAAGAAAGAAATTGTCCAGAATTGCTTCTGTTTTACACTGCTGCCTCGAGGTTGCTAGGTCTTTGTTATGGCCAACAATTCGACCGTCCCATCGTTTCCAAAGGGCTAAACATGGCTCAAAGCTCAAGAGTTGCAAACTATGTATCCTATCACACGCCCACTCCCCTCCAGCGTTTCTGATGCCCTGTCAGGAACGCACGGGAAACAACAAGAAATCAATAAGCTTACCAAGTTTCCACCGTGATGTGTAGTGGAGCGCTACACACAGTCAGTCACTAGTAGCGGATGATATTACTTTGCAAGATTTTGCCATGGATTAATTGTATAAGTATGAAGAAAACGAAACGAACGAATCAGCCCAACTCTCGACGTGCCACTTTAGAGAAAAAAATGCTTTTTTTGACGTGGCTTACGACTTTGGGAAATAGCGATATAAGTCGCTAGATTATTTTCACTGATCGCACTAGCCCAAAATGAATAGTTTTCCTAACCTTGACCGCGACTGAACTTTTGGATGCAGCTAGATGCATTTTCCCACATAGGGAAACAACGCAGATAGCGAAGGCCTCCGGGAAATATCTGATAACTTTTGGTTGTGATGATGGCAGATAGCCGATGAAGGAAGTTGTGAAAAGTGAAAACAATAGAACATAGCTGAGATCGGCTAGTTCCCACCTTGCTGCAACATACAAGTGGTATGTTTGAGAAATTACTTAGTTAGATTGAACATAGCTGAATCTGCCCTGGATCATTGCGCTGAAGCCGGTCCAATGCACATTCAACTCACCAGCACTGGGTTTGAACTGCCGACTAGACTCAGTTGAATGTGTAGCAAAGACATGAATTCCTGTGGCATCTAGCTAGCTAGCATTGTCAACATTGAAGTCTTACTCGAAAAAGATCATCCAATTTCATGTGTTGCTTTATTTGTAGAAATTTGACTACTGTTTTATAGTATAGAGTGAATTAAGCGTAATTACCAATGAGCACCGTCGCTGTGTCTGCCAAAGCCATATTCGCCATTAACGTGTAGGCGGAAAGCCTATAGACTCTGTTTGTACAAATCATGAGGAATGTAATCACATTACAAGCAGCACCCACGACACCTACAAAACAGTTGCATTGCTTGATCATGAATAGCATGTACCCAAAATTAGTGATATATCTAGTCACCGAATACGATGTAGCAACCACCAACGATTGCATTGAAAGAATTTAGTGTCTTCGGAGAAGACATCCGTGATGGCGAAGAGCAATATACTTTCGGATTCAGCCGCTCACCATCATTCCGTATTCTGAAAAAAATACCAAAAACCTGATCATTTCAGCTGAACGTCCTTTAAATACAGAGAGAAAGCAGGGAAATTTGCTTAAGAAGTCTTGCCATTACAACATTCCGGTGAAAAGATATAAAGGATCCGAGAAACACCCCCAGATTGTGTGGTAAGGCAAAATTTGTCGATAATGAAATTGTGGATGCCGAGTAGACTGAAAATGAAAGAAAGAAACAGAGAAAACCGTCGATGGTGTCCTCATTGGTGGCTGCTTTGTTTGACTAACACAAATTCTAGTTTTGTTTGGGTGCGCCAACAGTGCCTTTAAATAAATTATCAAAAAATAAATATGGTAGGAGGAGGCATAAAGTTGATAGGCGTTTGGCCTCCACATTCGTGATCACGTGCACTCCCTAATCAACGTTTGTGTTTGTTATGTCTTCGACGAGTTGAGTAGAATTATTCGAAGGCGTGAGACGAGACAAAAGTGAATGCAGTCATACTCGTGAAGGCTTATATAAGCATCATAATTATGTGGTGATGCTCCATCACCACTATCACAGTGTACACAAATATACTAAAGTTTATTTAATGCGAATGTATGGCGCATTCGGCTTACCCCAACAGTGTTGCTGTCTTCCTTCGTTCTGTGAGCCTCTCAGGTGTGTTCAATCCCAAGTTTATTTGCATGGAGGACAATGTCCAAGCGCAGGAACAGCTCAATTGAAGAACTTTTGAAGCAAGAGGATATCCGGCGATCGGCTAGGCATACCCACCTCTCTCTAAAACCTTATCGAGCGCGGGGCTAGGGATTTATTATGAGAATTGTTGCAGCACACCCAATGCGCCAATATACCCAGCTTAACAATCGCCCTCTTCAGGGCACGAACACTCCTTCACAAAATCTCTACCAATCTTGTGGCCAGTTGGGACAAAGTAGCCGAGCAAAGGGTGAATATTGGTCGACGAAATCCTCGAAGGGGGGGGGGGTCGTACGTGTAAGGCTAGGTCATGGGGGGTCGTGCTCGTGACGGTCAGTATCATCAGTGGTATCGTAGTGAAGATGGAGTAGGAGGGTGTAGCACAGCAGAAAGCGAATTGTGTGGAAAAAAAACATTATATAAAACATTATTTGTAGGTTCAGTCGCTCCATTCCTCTACTTTTATGAGGAGGACGCATTTGAAAGCAGCACAAAGAATGAAAGTGCTCCTCCACAAGGAACGGGGTCACATGTGCACATACGCTCAAAGGCACCTCCTCCTTCTAACGCCCGCTCCCCATCCCTTAATATCTCGTTGAGAATGACACTCGTGTTGCGGACGCTGTCACAAAAACGACAACCGTGAAGGAAAGACCCTATGCATCTATCAAACCCTACCGCGTGCTGTTCAAAGGTTGGAAATGGAGAAATGGAAACTTTCCATCGAGGGTGTAGATTTCGACGGTTTTTTTCTTCCGGAATTCCTGCAAATCTGACCCAGAGTCAAATCGCGCCGCAGCTACCGTTGAGTCGACCGTTGATCGATACACTCGGCGGTTGTAATTTTTGCGTATGCTCTCTGTTTTAGGAGGATCGTGCCAAGTCTTCGATCTTAGGGGGAGTCGTATTTCTGCGACCACGTCCTCGACACGATTCTCACACTGGCCGAGCATGCTTTGCAGTCCCTGTTCACACGCCCTAATAGAAGAACCAGACCCTGTCTTCTGGGGGTCCATTATGAATTGGGTAGTTTATCCCCAACCAACCCCTTCAATTCGACTGCGCCGTGAAATAAGCCTCATTGTTCTACTCATTGCGTCCCGTGGGTGTTTCCATGCAGTAACCCTGCTGATGCACTATAACAAATTCTTCAATCTACTGCTCGAATTTCGATCGGTTAGGTTATTTCATAGTGAGACCTTACCATGCGGAAGATACTTTCGTTCTTGGAGTTTTTGCACACTACTAGCGTGCATAGTTTGCAGGTTCCTGCTGAAAGGATTCAACAACTTCAGTAACAGATTGCTCTAAAATGGCTCAAGCAAATGATAATTCAGAGTGGAGCTCAATGCTGAGAGAGGCTATTCATTTCATCGGAGCTTTGAAAGAAAAAAGCATACGCAATAAAACGTGTATGCAGTAATGCTGTCAACGAGCCTTTCATTTTCGCTCACCGACGGAAACTCAAGCTTCTTCCAAGTTTTAGTGTTGACTGTCAGCGCTCTTGAGCCGGACATGGTTAACTCATTTCAAAGAGTGATCAACAAGGATTGCAAAAAAAAAAGCCAAAAATGCACCACTTGAGCGGCTCGACTCTCTCAGCGTTGCTTTTCAACCATTGCACTTCTGTGGTGATCCAAGGCTAGTAAATCCGAGGGAACTCATGACGCTTCAGCAGACTCGATCAAGATACAGTGAGAATGAAAGAGGTACTTAAGGAATCCTTTGCCGGAAAATTCTTGCATTTTTTTTCAATATGGAACGCATCAGTTGTGATCACTCGATGCAATAGACAAAGTCTACGTATGATGCTTCGGTTTCCGAGAAGAACCAAACTCACGAAATCCATTCTGTGGACAATCGAAGATAACTCGGGCGGAGCCAAAGGCGGGGCATGGAATGAAGTACGCCTTGGGGCGGCTACGTATTGGGCGACGCGACGATAAAATCGGGTCAAAGCGTGGATTTTGGAGAGTAGAGACAAATCAATCGATATCATAGGATGGAGTGAAGGTGTGAGATGTGAATGCAATAAGTCAAAAGGTCTAAAAGAGTTTCTGCTGAAGGCACTCCAATAACCATGTGGAAGCATTCCCGTCGCCACCGTTTGTGACAGATGTGCGGCGGTACTTTAAACGCGTAGCCCTTTTGGTTTTTCGATTTTTTTTACTAAAACAAATGCAATTTTTCTGTTCTTTTTATTCTTATCATGGATGATCGGTCTCAAGCCAGTGAATTATAGCTGAAATCTAATTATGATTTTTCCGTGAAGGATTCCTTTAAGGAAAAAGGAGACGCGCAACGAGGAGCGTCACGGGCATCAATAACGAGAACAAGGAAGTTGTCGTCACAAATAAGTCTACACAATGACTTTTACCCTGACTATATAGATTACATTCGACTGGCAGCTTTCTTCCAGAATTGCAGGTAAAGACTGAGGTTCGCTGCCTATGCCCATTTATTTTTTCTGTGAAACTACTAAGTTAGCATACGACAAAATGACTGAAACTATGGGTAAGCGGCGTCCAAACTTAAGATGAACAGCTGGAAAAGAACCGCAATCGATAGACACCCTAGGATCGGTTCAGTATTTTCCTTGGGTGAGTTGGGTATATACAGATTTTTATGGTAAACGTTTCCATCCGAAGTATCAGCACCCTACAGCAAAAAGTGGAGGAGATTTCAACACGATTTGGGTAGGGCAACAATCGCACAGAAGCAATGGCGCGCGCGGCAGGACGACCAACCCCATCTGACCAAGATTCGCATGACCCCGTCAACCATGATCAATACGACCACCTTTGGCGAATTGTTTTAGGAGTACCGGTGGTCCCAGTTGACCTGATAATCTCCAAATTTCGTCGCCAAATTTTTGAAAACAACGTTTGCGCCTTACGCTTCCTGATTTTCTCATTTCTATCCTCAGCTGCTCTGTTCCAGTTATATTACGGTCCCGGAAATACCAAATGCGACCCTCTCTCCTTTCCTGTAAATATAAATGATGCCGTCGATTTCCAATCGCTGCGTTATACAACCTGGTTAGGAGTGCTCTTTGAAAGGTCTCAGACTCTTTTACAGGTGTCATGGTGGTGGCTTCATATGTACAATAGTTGTGTCGAATTAATTTATTGACGTGCTTGCTGACTGTTCTTAGATTGCTGGTGCTTTCTTGCACAAACTGATTGTTTAGTATTTGTGTAAGGTCAGTTTTATGAATTTTTACTTGAACATTCTAATTCTGCCTTCGTTATCTCGTTGAACATTCTAATTCTGCCTTCGTTATCTCGTTCGATATATCACAAAATTTGCAAGTTAGTAAAAATAGCTCCTTTCATGACACATTGAAATTTCAACAAGTTTTAAGAAGTTTCTCCACATGGTCAAAGAGGAAAACCGCGTCTGGTAGTAGAGCAGAAGTTAACATTACTTGCTACAATTCCCCCATACGATTCAGGTGACAATAACCAGAGCTGTATTTCAGCGAATCAACGAGTCATAGCGAGGGGGGGGGAACCACCATTTTTATAGAGAAGATTTAGGCCACTATTTCATTCCGAAATACATCACATTTGAATTCAAAGCACTTATGCTGCTTTTTGAAGCATCGATCGGTTTTTCTTCATGTTTTTCCGGTGAGCAGAAGGGGGAACCTAACTTCCATTGGCGTTGCTTTTCCATATCGAGAATCACAATCATATCTTTCTCAAGCATCACTTGCTGTAGGAGGATATCCAATAATAAATCATAAATCACGGATCGTAAACTATCGCGTGTTGGATCGTGTGAAGTGGTCCAAGTTTTGTCCAGAGCACACCCTTTGATATGAGTCGAAATTGCTTCAGTGGAAGGAAAAAAGCGTATTCGGGATTTTTGGTGTCCTAGACGGGGACCAGATGAAATCAGCTGGAGATAGGCTGAGAAAAAGAAATAGCGACATGGAAAGCCACAATATACACGAAGCATAAAACTCCATGACATTGGAAGATAACGTTGAGATTGTGAGACTAAAACAATACTTTCACAGGTTGAAGGAGACGAGAGAAATTTG